CATCCCCGGTCTTATTGACTTTGTCTTTACACCGCAAACGGAGGTGGGAGTGGCGAGCGAGTGGGGAGATTCTCTGCAAGTCTACTTAACTCCTGTTTTCTTTCGCGGTAGTTCGCTGCGTTGCCTCTGCCTGCTATAGCTTTTGTGTTGCTTGTCCAGCTTGCCTCAGTGTCTGCTTTGGCTTGCACCAGCGTTTGCTGCGGCTTTTTGGAGCGCGTGGTGCCCATCGTCTAAATCGTCGGGGGAACTGTCGTATGGTCGTAGTACTGCTAATGCTTGAAATAGCTCGTCTACACAATGTACGGTTTTCGATATTCCCTCGGTAGTTGTTTTGGTGTACGCTTTAGAAAATTTTTGACACACTTCCGTTGCGTGTAACAAGGATAGGCATTTAAAAGGGCCACAACTACATTTCCCTCAAATAAACTGAACTGAAACGAAAAAAACTGCCCTAGACACCTACCAATTCTGAATTTTGATCAGTTTGAGCAAGATGGCAAAAATATGGCGAAAAGGGGGCAATTTTATGTGAAACCAACCTTGCGGTAGACTCATTAGCGCCAAGTCGTCACGAAGTGGCACGACGGCCGCGGGTTCGCTGGTGGACTTCAAGGAGGCATTCAAAGACTCGTAGAGCTGCCAAACTGTAGTCAGTTTGGGATGATAGGTCTGCAGGTAGGCGGCAAGATTCATGACCTAAAAATAAAAATAAAAAAGAAGCCAATCATGAATGTTCGCGTTTCGGGTGCTAGCGCGAGTAAAGGAGAGGGCTCGTTGAACACCGGAACACTTTTTTTAATTGTGTCCTGAGTTTTCAAACGCATACAGGAGTCCATCGTCAGAGGTAACACAGCAGCCGCAAAACGAGGCAATAAGGGAGGGTATAGACGCACGTCTGGAGACGACTGTGCAGGGCTCTGTACGCCGGCGCCAAATCGATAAATCTTATCCGAAGGCGTTTATAAACCGATGCATAGGCGTTCGGCGGCTGCGGAGGACCCAAACAGAAGCATCACCGAGGATATGACACACTCTAATATACATCGGAGACGTCTCCGAAGCGACTGAGCGCATTGCTGTGGGACTAGGTATTGGAGCTGCACATCGAGCCAAAGCTACAATACGCAGCAGAGTGACTAAAATCAAAGACCAGCTTAATCCCAACGAAAAATATGGGGTAGTGTATCGCATTTCATGCCTAAGCTGTCCTCGTAACTAGGCAGTTCAATCTGAACGTAAGCTAGGATCGCGCGTACATGAACATAAGCCAGAGCAATGAATTATCGCAAGTTGCTGCTCACACCTACGGAACGAGATGAGTTTAAATCCGCAATCGTCAAGATACTTGCCCACACTGGAAACAAACGAGTCGAGGATTGGTTGAAGCCCGGTCCACGAATGGGAACTCGATCAATCGATGTATTGATTTGCCGCCGGCGTGCAGAGCCCTGCGCAGTCACCGACAGACGTGCATCATAGACAGTTGATTGGTTTATACCCACTATAATCGCCCCTCCCTTTTGACGCTCTTCTTATCTATGACTATGAACTCCTGCACGGGTATAAAAGTTCAAACAATAAAACTTCACGGAAACTAATAAAAGCGTCAACTAGAAGAGATTGGACTGGACAATTAACAGATCAGAGAGGAGGGAGGGCGGTGGAACCTACCAGAACACTGTCGTCTAGGTCATTTGCTGTTCCCGCCTTCTTAGCAGCCTCCAGAGCCACCGATTCATTCTCTGTGAGCAAGATGACGTTTACCTTGCCCTTGAGGTGCTGCCTGTACCAGCGAGCAGCAATCCAATTTAACCTGTGTGGGGGTTCAACAAGAGTAACAAAAAACAGTTGCACACGGTTACCGCGTGGTATAGTTCAGGGAGGACTCTGAGGGCAGGGCCTGACGAAAACACTTCTCGTGAAATTCGTTATCAAACAGGACGCAGTGCTGAGCAGGGTCATTCAGACAAGCCCTGATGCGATTGTAAACGGCCCGCGAGGACGCCTGTTGCTGAGCCTGAAGGGAGGAAAACGTCCCAGTAGAAGGACACAAGTAAATACAGAGAAAAAAGGAGATAGAAACCTTTATGTGTAAAGCTGCCGGTTTAACCGGTCAGAAAGGTTTGTGTAATACGTCAACCCTGCTAACAGGGGTTCAACGGGGAAGCTATAAAGAAGCCGGAAAAGTAGCTTAACAAGTATGACGCAAACCGCCCTGCTAAATGATCGACAATACAAAATTGGTATTTGTTACCATACTGGACACATGTCCTATGATCACTTCATATTTCTCCGATAGCAATGTTATTTCAGTGTAAACATATCAGCCCATAGACCGGGTTACACATATGCTCACTCTAAAATGCATAGCCGAAAATTCAATTTCTGTTGTCTAGAACTGAGCCGAGGCTTGCACAGCCACCTCCAGACTTGATCGGCAGAGAAGGGTAAGGCCAAAACCAAGGCATGTGCGAAAAGAAACAACTGAGAATTATAAGTCTTACCCCTGCTACGTTGTAACGGTAACCTAGGCCGAGATATCACAGCTCAATAACGCCTTGTGTGAGTTCCCAAAAGGAAGAACACGACAAGTGTGCAACAGCAGAAGTCTTTTAGTGTAAACGGTACAACATATTAAGGACAACAAACGCGTGTAACACGATGTCCATAGAGCTAATCAGATTCTCTCTTGACGTAGTCGCCGGCACGATTGGCTGGTGACTCAGGGACTGAATGTAGCTTGAAATTTAAATTATCAATTGATTGACGGCTTGTGTATGTTCACCC